ACGGAAGAGCTTCAAAAGCACTGAAGCCGGCTTCAGTGCTTTTGAAGTCCTTTCCGATGTCCCTTTTCGCTCATTTTTAAGTGTCTTACAATGTTTGGAACATGTTTTAAATGCTTGCAATCGCTAGCCCACCTCCTGAACCCTATGCAAACTTAATTTGGTGTTGTTCTGAGTCTTCATTAATTTTTCTATTTAAATGCATTGAACTGTCCATTCAATTGATTTAAATGGGGAAAATAAAAAAATCACCAAAAATTAATGAAGACTGAGAACAAAACCAAATTAAGTTTGCACATGTTTCACAAGGTGCACTATGGAATCCAAGCATTTAAAACAGGTTTCAAACATTTTAAGACACTTTTAAATGAGCAAAAAGGGACATTGTTAAATGAAATTCCCCCATAGAGAACATTGTTAAACTATGGGGAAAATTCCTCAAAAAAACCCATCGCTGTGTGAATTCATCGTTGTATGAAGCAATCGTTGTGCAAGGCACCACTGTATTTTGGGAGTGGGGGCAGTTTTTTATTTTCATCTTGCTTCAGCCATAAATCAAACTGTTGTCTCATGCCATTACACCCCATTTGCCCTATGCTGATAATATGGCATCTTGGCCTATAGCATGCTGTTAAAAGATTCATGAGAGAATGTGTATGAACATGGTAATATGCTATATAAATATGCTAAATTTGTGATATTAGACCAAGATGCATGATGATGATAACCCATAGTGCAAGCAACATATGGTTTCCCCAGATCTGTTGGACTATAACTCCCATAATCCGTGACCATTAGCCATAGTGATTTGGGCTTATGCAAATTGTAGTCCAAAACACATTGGACTTACCATTTTGCCTCCCCTGCCCAGTCACATTGTTCTCAGCATCATCTCAGTACATTGTTGGTGTATTTTCATTTACATGGAAATCATGCTGCAGTGCTAACTATGCAATAACTATTGTAGACTCCTGAAGGTTTTATGTCTTCCTTAGTCCGATGGATATGTACATGCTGGACCATCCTACTGGCATATGCTAATTGCCTCTGAAAACAGATTGCTCAGCCTGCTGTGTTCTGCATCTGTTACCATTTCTGTGGGTTTTCATCCCATGCATGAAAATAATCCAGCAGCGAAGCTTTTAGGGACATAAACTATTTGGGAAGTGTAGCTGGGTGTTATGGAAGAAGTAATTAGATGACAGCATAAGCTCATGGCCCAATAAAAGGGAAACGAAAATTGATGGAGTTGAAAGCTCCCCACTCTTCCAGTGTTCCCCTCCCTTTATGAAATGTTTTATATCCTTGCCAACATTTGAAAACTCATCAGTGTTGCACTATAATTCCTATGGTTTTTGTAATTGGATATTGGCTTTTGAGGAAGGGAAGAAGAAAATGTGGTGCTTGGGCTGTTAACAGATGATTTTTCAAGTTTATATATCCTTTCTGTGATCACAGTAATTAGCCAGCTAGCAGGCTCCCCAAACCCCTTGATATCTTTCTTAAAGAGAAGTGCTGCTTAAAGTACTGTCTCTCTCAGGCTGCTGTATTTATGACTTCTCCTTGCTTTATTGTTGCAATGGTTCACATCTGTTTTTGAGATTAGCTCCCCTGGTGCTTGGGCAATCATTTCCAACTAAACAGATACTTAACAAACAAAACAAAACAACTCTCTTTCTGTTAAGCCCAGCATTTTGGAAGTTGCCAAACAAAGAAACTTGAACAAAATGAGTAATGCATATAGAAGAAGGCTTTGCACTCCCTAAACATCTAGGCCCCAGTGCAGTTTGCTGCAGTGATGAGGATCTTGAGGATATGACATTTTTGTGTGTGTGTGTGTGGACATTGTGATAGACCATGGTTTATAGTGATGAGGTGGGGTTTGGTTGAATCTCATCAGGCTTGGGCTCCCTCTTTCTGATTATGCCTTTGGAATGTAGCAAACTCGCTTATACTAATAATTATTGCTTGCTTAAAAAGAGCCAGCTTCAGACGATGTGCTTTTGATAATGTCATGCTTCATGTAGACTTGCTAAAGTTTAGGATTCGGATGTAATGCTAAAAAACTCTGGTCATTCAGAAACTGAAAAAGAAAGCTTCTAAATTCCTCCATGTGGCCAGGCAGTGGGAAAACACACTGAGGTTTGTGCCAATGCGACCCTGTCATAATCACTTAAGATTGATTACAAATGCAACCAACGGGTTGATCATGATTTAAGTCAATGTGATTTATTAATTTGATTAAATCACAATTAAAATTTAAAAAATTGATTTTTTAAAACAATTTAAACAGTTTGATTTGAAAATCATTTATTTTTATCCACTGTGGAGCCAAACCCTAAGGAGTCCACTTCTCTGTGTTAGAAGAGTAGAATCTGAGAGTGAGATGCTATGTTTTACTTTGATCACCTAGTTTAAATGGCAAGGTACAAAATGCAATTTTTAAAATGATGTTGAATTCTTGGGTTTGATATTTAGGACATTTGTGGGTCTTGTTAGCTAGGATGTGATGCTTTTATAGCTGTTACAACACCTATAGAATTTCAGTCTTAGATAAAATAATTGAGGCAGGTCTGTGGAGGTATTTCCATGTTGCCAGGAAGCAAGAGTGAGATGTGCTGTCTCTTCCAGGCTAACCGGTCATCTCTTGATAGAGAGAGATGAGACTGCCACCTATTTGAATGTCACCCAAATGGGATTCTTTTACAGTTTTTCGTTTGTTCTGTTTGTTAATGTATGAGGCCACCCAGAAAATTAAACTACAAAAGAGGAGATGCAGATAATGGTTTCTAGGTGCACTGTACCTTTGCTGGTTTTTTTAGTAGTAGAAATGAAAAAAATTGTTTCATTCCCAGGTGATCATACTGCCCACCTCAGCCTTCATGGCACTGGCGATGGTCTGCCTGATGATGGAACCATGGAAGAAGGAGACACTAGTCCCGATGCCCAACCACAGCAAGGCCGCAGAACACGTAGAGAAGCATGCACGTGCCCCTATTGCAAAGACAACGAAGGAAGGTAAGGCAGTGCAAGCATGGCATGTTGCAACAATGGATTGGAATTGGCTTGGGGTTCTTGGACAGCTTTTTGCCTCCTGAAATTTCATAGGACCAAATTCCGCCTGTTGAGAGAATTGGTCTTAAGAGCATCAGTTAAGGCGGATGGAGGAATCTGGTTCATTTAGGATCAGGAGTTTGATTCCTAGCTGTGCCTTGTAAGAGAAGTATGGACTTGGTAAGCTGCACAGTCACAGAATATCCCCAGAAGAAGGGGCTGGTAGGCCATGTTCTAAACACAGACTCATTGATCCTGAGAAAGGTAATCATAAATCAGAACTGACTGTACTACATCTGTGGGCTAGGCAAGCAATTTTGACTTTCCTTGACTTTGGGAACCAGTGGTAAGCCTCAAAGACTGCTACCATTGCTTCAGAATCCCTGCAGTTTGCTATAAATGGTGCATATTTTATCTTCTATATGTTTTCATAGAATAATGAAGTTGGAAGGGGCCTATAAGGCCATGGAGTCCAACCTCCTACTCAATGCAGGAATACAAATTAAAGGATATCTGTCAGGTGGCTGTCTAAATTTCTCCTGAATGCCTCCAGTGTTGGAGCACTCACCACCTCTCGAGCTAACTGGTTTCATTGTCGTACTGCTCTCTCTAACAAGAAATTTTTCCTGGAACTCAACCGAAATCTGGCTTCCTATAGCTTGAGCCCATTATTATGTGTCCTGCACTCTGGGTTGATCAAGAACAGATCCTGCCCCTCCTCTGAATGACAGCCTTTCAAGTATTTGAAAAGTGCTATCATTTCTCCCCTCAGTCTTCTTTTCTCAAGGCTAAATGTGCCCAGTTCTTTCAGTCTTTACCATCCCTTTCTGCATTGTCCTGCCTAGTCATGTACCTTAGTTAATTTTCAAAGCCAAGTAGTACTACATCTGTTTACACAAATGCAGTGAATGAGTGTAATTCATCTGTGGTTTTCTTGTTGCAGAAATCATAGATGTTCTACTATATAAGTTTCATGCCTTGTTTATAGGTCGTTGGAAGTATATGTTTATCTTTTCAAGCAGGGAGGTGATGATTGCTAGCAGTTAGGTTCGCCATCCACTGGATGCACAATAAGGAGCTACTTCAAGATCCTTGCCTCTTATAGAGTTTTACCTTTCATCCCACCAGAGGCCCCTCAGGATGGACGGCAATTAAGATAAACAACCCTCACAAACATTTTGAGATGGATACTTCCGTCTCCTTGCAGTTCCAGAAGCTATTTAAACTTTTGGAGTATGAGGATCTTTAAATCTACATAAAGGATTTTTAAAGTCTGTCTCACTAGTTTGGAAGTCTGAATATTAAACTTGAAACCTGTCCATGCTCTTCTGCTTAAACCTACCATCACCACCCCTGCCTCCTGTAGCAACCATCTGGGAGAATTATGCATGAATGTACATGGAGGTCCCATCTGCTTCTCCCCACAGGACAAAGTACACAGTGAGCAAGCCTGTTTGTCTGTTTGGTTCTGACTTTACACATAACTATCCTTAGGAGCTCCGGGGATCCAGGAAAGAAGAAGCAGCACATTTGCCACATCCCAGGCTGTGGGAAAGTGTATGGGAAGACCTCTCACCTGCGAGCCCATCTTCGGTGGCATACTGGGGAGCGGCCCTTTGTGTGCACCTGGATGTTTTGTGGCAAACGCTTCACACGCAGTGATGAACTGCAGCGACACAAGCGGACACACACAGGTAAAGGGAGAGATGCAGCCTAGCCTGGGAAGGGAAGCAGTACGTAGCCCAGAGCACTAGTGGTTTTGGAGCAAACTCCGCAGATGTGTGGAACTCCTTTGAGGCACAACTTATGTACTGTTAGTTCCATTTCAAACTGTTACTGGGGTGTGTGGACTGAATGCAACATCAAATGCCTGACTTCTTAAAGTAGTGATAAATTGCTACTGAATATGCTAATGGGTGTAATGATGGCAGGTGTCTGGATGTGGTTCTGGTCCTAGTCTTTTCTGAAAGCTAGAATTTTGGCAAGCTTTTTGTTTTGTTTTGATTGGTATAGAACCATCCATGACTGTGCAGAAGAAGCAACTGCAGCAGACACAAGCAGTGCTGCTGACAAAACCACCTGTAGCACAGCCACTGTGATCCTAATTTCAGAAAGTAGAAATAATGCTTCCTTATCTCAGAGAAGTTTAAAGGCTAAGGCAAATTGCTGTAAAAAGCAGTGAAATCTAGAAATAGGAAGTGCTTTGGGAAGGATATCTTCCAATTTCTTTAGTCTATCCTTACCTAGATTGGAAGCTACCAGCACCTGGGTGATAACGGTAGGTTGGAGCTGATTTGGATCTTCTCTTGCTGACTTTTAGTTAGCAAGCATTTTATTGTAGGAGGTATGAATCCTCCTACCTTTTGAGGATGGAGTAGTTCCATCCAGTTTAATCCCTGTCTCTTTTTATTTTTCAGGAGAGAAGAAATTTGCTTGCCCGGAGTGTACAAAGCGCTTTATGAGGAGTGATCACCTCTCCAAGCACATCAAGACCCACCAAAACAAGAAGGGACTGGCACCCAACAACATGGCCGTAGATGTGTCTGCCGTCTCCATGGACACCGGGGCTTCTGCAGAGGGCACTGGGGGAGCAGCACCATCAGCCCTCGTTGCTACCAACATGGTGGCCATGGAAGCCATTTGCCCTGAAGGCATCGCCCGCCTGGCCAGCAGTGGCATCAGCGTGATGCAAGTGGCAGATCTCCAGTCAATCAACATCAGTGGCAATGGATTCTGAGGCACTGCAGAGGGCAGTGATGTTGCGCAAGCACAGGATTCTGGAGGTAGCGATGGGTCCAAGGGATGAGATCTTTCCTTACAAAAGTGAATGATGGGGGAACTCAGCTGCACTCCCCCATCCCCCCCAGCCTGCAAACCCCATGTCAGTATCCCAGAATAAGGCTGTTTGCTGTTCATGCCATCCCTCTGAATGCCTGTTCTGAATGCCCGAGGGAAGTAACGACAGCTCAGCACACTCTTGACTAATTTGGGTTTTCTTTCCCTTCCCTTTCCTATAGAAGCCTCCACACCCTTCTTAGGTACCCCAAATGCCATCATGCCTTGGTTCTAAATGTATATGGATCACTGAAATACTTTTTAGCAGAAAAAAGAATCTATATTATTATTATATTATTATTATTATTGTAATTATATAAAGGTATAAAATATGTTCATTTTGATGAGAGAAGTTAAAATTGCTGTGACCAAAGTTTTTGGTCATCATTTAGATGCCTTAACTTGGAACTCCTTGAGCTGTTTAGGCAATGCTCAGGCTTATGTTCAGATGCTATATTGTGTTTTATATTGTAATTATAACAACATAAATTAGCTTTTGTATGCTTGACTTTTAGGTTTATCTGTCTCCCCACCCCCACCCCACCCCCAGTGATTTGGGCAAAATCACACTTCCAACTCCTATCTTTAGAAAATCTTTTCGTTGTTCATCCTCACTTTTCTCCATTTCAGGAGAAGCAGATTTGTTTAAGTTCATATCATCCATTTGTTCAGAGTAGTAGGATCCATGGCCTACACAGTATGTTCTGATTTTGCAGGGGGAGAGTTGCAGTAAGGGGAAATAGGTAATTTGAGACTTTAAGGTTTGAATTTAAGGTTTGAAAGAGATGTTATTTTTGTGGCACCAGCAGGAAAGAATGCCCTTTTCAGTTCCCAATGTATTTTGTCTGTGTTACAGCCCACAGTTGAACTGAAGCACTGCAGCTTGATAAATTTGCAAATGATGATGTTTCAAGTATGTTGTGTATGTGGTGGTTTAATTTTTTTTTAATGGTGAGGTCTTTACATGTGTCTTGTTGGCTCAGTGATGGAAATTTGTACTGTGGGACAGGATAGCTCTAGAGCTTTGGATCCTGTTGTATGTTTACAAAACGTATGGCCTTGTAGTAGAGGGAGAGCTGGGTGAGGGACGGTTAAGCTTATGCTCTTCTTTTGCTAAGAACCACCGTAGAACTCCTCAGTTTCTATTCAGCTTGCCTCTGGCAGTGGTTCTATATTGTTGGGCCAAATAATCTAATTCTTAGCCTTGGCAGCCATCCTGCCTGCAGAATTACCATTTGTCCTGTGTATCTGCTATTTATAATAGATTTTCAGCACCTTAATCTTTCTAGCCATCCTGCTGCTTAACAATATTGTCACAGGATTGTGAAGATACACTGCAGGTATGGCTAGGGTGCTGGTGGTCATTGTAAGCAGGAGCAAAAAAAATGCGAGGAGCAAAGCTGATGAGAAAGAAAGGAAGAGAATTTAAGGGCTTCTTGGCAAAACTTTGCAGACTCCCTGTAAAGAAACAGTGTTTCAGACCTCCAACGTGTGGCCATTTCCCCCAGACTGTTCATGTTTAGTTAGAGTGCGTTGGCCATTCTGTCCAACACCAGAGTGGGCTGTGCCCCAATAAACACATCTTTTCTGCTTTCTCTCCCTCATTTCCAGCTGCAAGGGATAGTAAAGTGGTTCTTATCCAAATGGACTCTGAGGGCAAAGTGCCTTTGTACTTACGTATTGCATAAGAATAGCAAATAATGAATTTCTGAAAACTGCCAAGCTTAGCGAAACGCTTTTCATTACATTGCTGTTATCTATAGAGTCAAATATCTGTTGCCATGTGCAAGCAATCCTTTTATACCATGAAATGTTAACAAGGGTCCATAAGTTCTTGCTGAGCTTAATAGCCAGCCGTGGGGTTTCATCGCCACTTCCTTTTTCCATATGTCCTAACATATGTAGCCCCGACTCTCTGCTCCTCCAGCTCCTCCTTTCTCCACATCCTGCTCTCTCCACCTCCCAGTTTTCTTTCTTTGAACCTTTACTATTTAGATAATAACGGGATCAGGAAATACCTGAGGATTCCTGCTGTTGGATCAGGATACCAAGGGCAATCATCAACTGTTGTCAAGTACGGCAGCTTTTTGCTACGCATGATTGGAGGAATTGGGTATGCCATCACACCAAGATACTGCCAACTCGACAATGACCTCTGTTGACATGCTGGCTGTGTTTATGGACCCCTGGTACTCATGTGGCTTGAACTGAGTAGCTCTTTCATGGTCTTTTCAGGCTACTTACAGAAATATTTTGCTTGGTCTACAGTTCATTGAAATGAGAGGAAGATGGAAACCTTGTTTTGGCCAAAGGTATAAGATACAGTAGTTAGTTGTGTTCTCTTTTCTGTTGACCTCCAAATAAAAAAGTAAGTGACAGGGGGTCTTATTAAAAAACAAACACATTCTGGTAGTTTGGATAGACTGGTCTGACTTTTTCATTGAGGCAGAAATGTTAAGATGAGCTCTATCTTGTTTAAAAAGGGCATAAAAAGGAGAGTGAAGCTTTTGATTCTGTAAAACATAGTGCTGCTGTATTCCTAAACACACACACACACACACACACACACACACACACACACACACACACACACACACACACACACACACACACACACACACACACACAAAAAACGCTATTGGTTCAGTTAGTCTGTCTTGTGTAGATGCAGGGTTTGAAAGAGCAAGGCTACCTCAATATAGGCTATGCGTAATGAGTAAATAGAGCAGCAGATGAAAATGAGTGTGCCACTGCATGTACCAGTTTTGTGACTGTCATTAAAATGGAACTTCCCATGCCAGTATTTCAAGGAGGCGCTAGTATCCAAATGCCCTGTAGTCTTCCTGTTAATTGTAGAAAAGCTCTAACTTGGTTAGAGATGGAGAATAGTTAATCATCCAAGTATTATTAGCCTAGGACTCCCATCATATCTTGTTGCTCCCTGTGCTGGTTAGGGCTGATAGCGGTTGCAGTTCAACTGCATCTTGGAGGTTCCAAGGTTGTCAATCCCTGGGCTTGATTTTTACTTGCAGGGACACACCAAAGCCTTCCACGCGCTCTGGTATCAAATGTGTTTGTAAGCATGGGCTGCATATATCCTGCTCTTGATTTTATAGGATCCAGAATTGCACTTGTGAAAGCCTACCTTCTCCAAGCAAAAGTACATATAGGACTATCACTTCATGCACACCACATCTGAACATTTTAGCCAGCCAGAGAAACACTGGCAAATTTTACAGTGGCAAATGTTGTGGTATTACAAGGTTGGGTCATTTTAGTTTATTTTTGTTAGGTCAAAATGGATGACTAGTTCTGAAAGATTGTTCTGCCATGTCTACAAGACCAGATCTGGTGAAAGGTGAATTGTTCTTAATGGCACAAACCATACTAAAGAACGATTTGGCTAGGAAAAAGGTCTTTTCTGAACCAATATTGCTTCAGAGGCATTTTCTGTACAATGTGGGTTTGAGAACGCAGCAATCAGATTTGGTTGTTACAAAACACAAGGATTTTAGAAGCATGACTGAATTCATTTTTTGAGCATTCAAGCTCGATAGTACAATTACACATCTCAGGGCTCTGTCAGAGACAAAGGAACAGTACTGTTATTGAAGCAAATGAACCCAGGCATGCTTTGGGATGGTGGCAGGAGTAAGTCTTGTAAATAAACTATCACATGATAAGCTGCCATGCAAAACTCCTCCAAATACGAGCTTATCTGTTCTTTCAGACTGTTTTATCTTTTTATTCCCAGGGCTTCAAATTCAGCTTGAGAAAGAGAGGAACTCTTGTTTAGCTCCCCCACTTTTCCTTGCATCTGAAATGCTGGAAAATGTCAGGTCACAATCAGGGGACTTTAGTACCAATTTGGAACTGCTTATCCCTCTGAAATGTTTGCTGTCAAAGGGGCACTGTTGTAGTACTGTCCTCGTCATCTGTTGTTCCCCATGCTGCCTCATCAGTCTTGCTCAAAATCATCCTCTAGCCATGTTTCTTTTACACATTTTTGTAGCTTAGGAGAATAAATCTATAGAACATTTTCCTTTTCATGTGTGGAAGGGCATGTTGTCAAACGGGCGCAGTGTGGGAAGGGGAAGGAATTGAATCTACAACCTGTGACTAGAACAGCCAGTAATTTGGGGGGGGGGGCGGAACGGGGACGGAGGTTACATCACCAATTGCCCATCCGAAAGGATCTGTTGGCCTCTTGCTGAATCTTCATTTTTGTTTTCTAAAGAACAATATTGTTTGTTTTGTAATTATTGCATGGTTTGCAGAAGAGAATCTGTTGCTTCTAAATAAAAATCCACAAAAAGAGGAAATATGAACATGAAACAAGAGAAGGAGCTCTTCCTACAAATCTCTCTACTTGATTTGGGTGGTGAGATCATATGTTTTATAAGGAGAGGGTGAAAGCGTTTGTATTTTCTTAACAATCGCTAAATACTCAGAAACTGTTGCTGCATTAAAAGTATGATATTTTGGAAATAATTGGCAATTTTACAGCCTTTAGGTGAATGCTATATTTATTTTTCCCCATGTTTTGTAAACTGTACCTCACTGAGACACCCGAGTGGCAGCGGCTGCCCTGTCTCTTTGCTGGATGCAACTTTTTTTTTTCTGCGTACCTGAGCAAGACCTGGGCCCCCAAACTGGCCCTGTTTTGTCCAGATTTAAGCAGAGCTTTTAGGAATGCGCTTTCTGCAAAGACCTCCCATGGAACATGTAGATACATGATGCACACATGTACATACACCTCAGCCTCAGAATGCTTCTTTTCGGTTCTTAACATAGAGAAGGAAACCTGGGTATTTATTCAAGAGGCAGTACTTTTCACTCATTATAAATACATTTGTGGAACAACAGCACAGGAACGTTGCTACAGAGGTGGCAGAAACACTAGTGAGTGCCTTTTTTTAAAGGGTTCCAGAATGAATCTTTAGTTTTAAGGTTTTAATTTTCTTGTGGAAGTTAGCGTTTAGTTGAAGCCATCTCTGCCTGCCTCTGTTCAGCTTGTGGCCCTGTTTGATAGTCCTGTGTTGTGCTTACAGTCCTACATGCACTTGAAACTTCTGTTTGGGACACATTGCTTAAGTTTACCAGGACCCAGGTTGCCAGCTGTTTCTTTAGCATCTCTTATGTACTTCTACTATGTTTTGCTGAGGACACTGGCAAGGACTCTGGTCCTTGAAGTCTTACTTCCTAGCTATGACTCCCCCTTTTGTCTACTTATATGGCCCAATACGTTGATGCAGTATTGAAGATACTTGAGGGGCCTTCCCCTTGGTCTTGCAGTATCTTATGTGAAGAAGTAGGAAAACATTGCTCTAAGCCTCTGGTGTGGATACGGTAGTTTCTGAGATAGCAGAAAACACTGGGGTTCAGGGGAGGGGAGAGTCAGTGGGGTTGTTTTTTTTTTAAAGGGACTAGTCTATACTGCAGAGCAGCTGCATCCCCACTTGGGGCCCCTCCCTCCACGATGTCTACTTTATC